TCCTCGCTTCCTCTAAGGCCCCTCAAGTCTCCGCCACCGTCCACATCTTCACCCTAAAACCCTGCTCCGTCTCCCCAGCAGAAAGAACCCCCAGCCCCCCCTTTTTACAACCAAGGGGCGCCAGAGCTGTTGGCTCTGCTGTGTGGGTGCCTCACACCTCTCAGGCCTTAGCCCCCCACTTCCCCCCCAAATCCTCAGTCACCTCCTTGGGCTGGACCCTTCCTGGCCGGCCGCCCTCCCCTCAGGGGCTCCCCTATAGCGGAGCCGGAGGCAGGGACCCCTCCTTCCCGGCCCCCACATTGTCCGGGCCCTTCACCCCCTGGCCCCCATGTGCCCATCTCCTCTCCATTCCCCCCCCCTTTGTCCGGCCACCTCCCTCCCCCGTCCACGCAGCCTGTGCGCCTCCAGGCTTCCCCGCTGGTCCCCCGTCTCTTCTCCCCACTGGGCAGGTTTCCAGAAACAGATCTCGCCCTACAACCTTCCATGACTCCCTGTTGCCCTCCAGGGAGAGTAGAGATGAACTGTGTGTTTGGGGGTGGGGGGTGGGGTTCTGGTTCCAAACTTCTCAGTAACTTATGTGAGACACACACCTCACCCCCCATCACACCCCATCCCCAGGCCTTTGCTCAGCCAGGGGCACCCCCCCTCCCCCCCCAAACACACCCGCTCACCCAGCCCTGCCTCACTCTCCTCCTCTGGCCTCGGCAGCCCTGCGACAGTGGGAAGAGCAGGGGGAGCTGCTGCTGCCCCTCACCTTCCTGCTCCTGGTGCTGGGCTCCCTGCTGCTCTACCTGGCCGTGTCACTCATGGACCCGGGCTACGTGAACATCCAGCCCCAGCCCCAGGTAACCCGGGCGCCCCTGAGCCCCTCCTCCCACCAGCAGGGAACCAGAGGCCCCAGTAACAGCCTCACGCCAGGTTGTGTGTGGAGGGCTCTTCTGGGACATCTCAGTGCATCCTCTTGCCAGCCCTAGAAACCTGTCCTACACGGAGGAAATCACCAAGGCCCAGAGAGGGAAAGCAACTGGCCCAGGTCACACAGCCTCACTCGGTCCAGGGCACTCTGCCCCACTCTACCACCTGCATTACACAATGGATGGACCCCAAAATGTGTTCACCAGCCATCTGCCTCCCAAGGGGACCCCATCTTATGCTCTGTCCCCCATTTTCAGGAGGAGGTCAAGGAGGAGCAGACAGCCATGGTTCCTCAGGCCATCCCCCTTCGGCGCTGCAGATACTGCATGGTGCTGGTCGGTGACTCGGGGACTTCCCGGGAGGGGTCGGGGGCAAGGTCAACACCCTCTAACCGCCTCCTGCCCCAGCGCCTTGGCCTCACCCCTCCAGGAAGTCCTCCCGTATTCAGGCCTCAACCTCCCGCCCTCCTCCCTGCCCTCACTGTTGGTCCGGAGTGGGGCCAGCGTCGAGCCTGAGCCTCTGCCCACAGCAGCCCCTGAGGGCCCGGCACTGCCGTGAGTGCCGCCGCTGTGTCCGCCGCTACGATCACCACTGCCCCTGGATGGAGAACTGCGTGGGGGAGCGGAACCACCCACTCTTCGTGGTCTACCTGGCGCTACAGCTGGTGGTGCTTCTGTGGGGCCTGTACCTGGCATGGTGGGTCCCGCCACGGCCCTGCGTGGGGGGGAGGGCGGGCAGCACTCGCCCACCGGGTGTGTTCAGCCGGGGCTCCCTCCTTAGGGGCCTTGGGCGGAGCCCCTGCTCACCTGGGCTCCCCGGGGCCCCACGCCTGTGCTGCCCCCAGGTCTGGCCTCCGGTTCGTCCAGCCCTGGGGGCTGTGGCTGCGGTCCAGCGGGCTCCTGTTTGCCACCTTCCTGCTGCTCTCGCTCTTCTCCACGGTGACCGGCCTGCTCCTGGCCTCGCACCTCTACCTGGTGGCCAGCAACACCACCACCTGGGAGTTCATCTCCTCGCACCGCATCACCTACCTCCGCCAGCGCCCCGGCAACCCCTTCGACCGCGGCCTGACCAGCAACCTGGCGCACTTCTTCTGTGGATGGCCCCCGGGGTCCTGGGAGACCCTCTGGGCCGAGGAGGAGGAGGGTGAGGGCAGCAGCCAGGCAGTTTAGGGTCACGGGAGGCAGATCCACCATCTTGTGCCTCAAAACTGGACGGGCTGGGGCTCCTCACCTCTGCCCACACCTCAGCCTCAGAGCAGACTGACCACAGGGACCCTCCCGCCCGTGGGCAGTTCTGCCTCCAGAGGAAGGAGCGGGGGAGCCGGGGCTCCTGAGACCTCCACCCCACCCCAGGCCACATGCCTCCAGTGCAGTTTTATAAATTTAATAATCCATAAAGCAAGTCAACTATTAAAAAACAAACCAGGTCACTCCTCACTGTGTCACCCTTTGCGGTCCAGGTCTGGCCGAGAAGCAGAGGAGTGTGGGCTTAGGGAAGGGAGCACCCTTCCCAGTGACTGAGCCCAGCACAAAGCACCCCACGGCCACCACCTCGTCACGAGGGCCGGTAAATGCCAGGCGAGGCCGGGGTCTCCAGGGCAGGGTGCGCAGCTGG